GGGGCCCCATGAGTTGTCAGTCCACCCCTGGTGGGGGGCTCTATCCAATCATATAGCTACCCTTCCTCAACACATAGAAAAATGACTACATGTCCTGGTGGACAGAAAACTGTAATAGTAAAAGAAACTGGCCTTCTTCTTTACATCTCCTGAACTGTCACGTACCTGGATAGTGAGCCTGACGTGAAGAAGCAGGCCTCCCGTACAACTCCAGCTCAAGGACCGCTGATGGTGAGACAGCGGTCGCAGGTGCACGGTGGGGTATGAGTGCCTGTGATTAGTCCGGTAATAGTGGGTGGGCTGATGAGTTGCAGGCCAGAGCAGGGTGCAGATGTAGCCGTGTGGGATGGATGGATGTTGGAGCACAGCGCACTGAGGATGCAGAGTCAGATGAGCCGGGTTCAATATTGGTGAGGCAGATCAGGCAGATAGCGGCAGGAGGAAGAGTAGTCGGTCACGGGCCAGGTTCAGTAACAGCAGATCAGACAGGAGCAGACACAAGAGTAATCCAAGGACAAGCCAGAGGTCAGGGCAGGAGGCAATGAAGCAGAAGTCAGGAACAGGCTGGTTTGGCCGCAGGAACACGAGCAGGGGAAAAGACCATACGGCAATGAGATAACCACAGCAGACAGTTTAAATAACCCTCTTGGGTGCCAGCATTAGTGACAGGAGCGCGCGCACCCGCGCGCCTATGCCCAAGTGCATGCAAATCTGCTCAGCTCGCAAGGACCCTGCGCATGCGCATATTTGTGTGCTGTGGATCTTTACCTGCACCATGGGCAGGCCTTTCCTGACATGAACTTTGTTTTGTGCTTAAAACTGTGTAATGATTTCTATCTTTATTGAAGATTATTTGACTATTTTCTTAAGCTGAAATGCAGAAAAATGACTAAATGCACACCTTAAAATTATATATGGGAATTGTTTTACCCATCAAAGGATTTGTATTTCTTGTCCTTCCAATGCTGAGATTTCCACTGCTCTGCTTCAAAGCACAGCCAGCAATATGGCACCGCATTTTGTTACTGTAGAACCACAATATGGCACCACACTATGTTACTGTAGAAGGAATACAGTGCTGTCCTCTCCCTGCCCCCCCAGCCTGCTGACTGGACATCAATTGACTGACTGGTGATCAAACCAGCTCCCTGCTCATTCTGCTCTATCCTCCTAACAATATGCACTTAATGAATACATTTTTAATTTACTTTCCTTAATAAAAAAAGGATAATTCAATATCACATTTTTTTAATGTATTAGCCGTGACTTTCCCAGATGTAGGGGCCTCATCTCAGTTTTATATTGCTCCTTTTCGGACGCCACCTTCCCTACTCCCCCACGTATAGACAGAAAGGGGAGGCAGATTGCGGTATTACTTTTTATGATGAGGACTGGGATTCCATGGTGGATAATATACAGGGGGGCTCTAGATCTCTCTCGGTCCGTGAGATGGCCCTTAAAGTTTTGACTTGCTGGTATTATACCCCTTCTAGTCTACCTGTCATGTTCCCAGGGACATCGCACCTCTGCTTCAGGGGTTTGTGGCCTCGCTGGAACCTTTGTACACATGTTTTGGGCTTGTCCTAGTCTCTCCTTGATCTGGAATAGAATCTCGGAGTTGGCCTCTGCCCTGGCGGATACTCCGATAACTATGTCTATTCAAATTTATTTACTGGGGGCTCCTAATTCGGGCGTTCCTGTCAGCGAGATGAGGCTAATCCACACAATTTGTGTCTCATCCTTATGGGCCATTGCCCTTCACTGGGAGTCATCGACTGTTCCTTTGGCCTCTGTTTTGCGAAGAGTCGATATGGTTATGCTCATGGAACTTATCCACTATACACTGCTAGATAGGTTGCACTTATTCAACAGAAAATGGGATGGTTGGAAACAAGGGCGGACTGACAACTCATGGGGCCCCCAGGCAATAGGGGATCATGGGGCCCCTGTGTCCTTGCCCAAACTCAAAACAGCCTATGAAAATGGTACCAGGGGCATCTCATGGGGCCCCCTACTGACCCCGGGCCCTCGGGCAGTGCCTGAGTTTCCAAATGGTCAGTCCTCCCCTGGTTGGAAAACACATTTATTGTCTGACTGATGTTCTATCATGGTTCGATGTGCTTCGAATCTTTGTTAACAGCTTCGTTGTTTTGGTATTTTTTACTGACTGCCTCATTCATGTATGTGCATTTATCTTTTTTATGCTTGTATCTTTTACTACTGCTTTTTTACCTATGTACCTTTTTTTTTAGCCATTCTGATTCTCAAGTCGTTATACTGTTACTGTTGTCTATCCTTTAATAAAAAATCATTTGTAAACCAAAAAAAGGGATGATTATCATGATGTCATTAAATTTATGGCAACATTAACATATTTTTACTTTTATTGTCATTATATTACACTTTCTGTCAAAGACTCTTTCATGTTAACATGCAGCACACCTGATTGGTTTCCAGTCCTGTTCTTATGTATAGGGGATGCCAAGATGCTGATATTAAGTCATACATAGGTACTTACGCTGGTTGCATTGAAAAGATACACATATTAATTTATTAATGAATACAGAGCTAACTTAATATGTCTTTTTTCTGGCTGCAATTTAGCTGTAAGGGTAGAAAAAATCACGCAGTCTAAATCTCCCTTGCTTCTGAAACCTGATCCGCATTCTGATAACAGTCCAGCAGGGGTAGACTGACAACTCATGGGGCCCCCGGGCAACAGGGGATCATGGGGCCCCTGCAACGGGGGATCATGGGGCTCCTGTGTCCTCGCCCACACTCAAACCACACCCAAAAAAGCTTATGAAAAGGTACCAGGGGCATCCCATGGGGCCCCCTACTGGCCCTGGGTCCTCGGGCCGTGCCGAAGTTTCCAAATGGTCAGTCCGCCCCTGCAGTCCAGAGACTACTGACAGGTGGTAAAGAAGCGATTGGATGCCTCCTCACCACCTGTTTAACCCCATTTTTTTTAAAACAATCAAGCAGTTGCAGGGAGTTTGCGGTGCTTCCCCATTTACTTGAATGTGTCATGCTCCCTACATGTTGGGTGAACTTTGCTGAGGGCGTGAAGCAAAGAATTGCAGTTATGGCATTTAAACATCCTCATCAGCTGCCTATTGCAGATTAAGGGGGTGTTGGCGGGCAGTAAAAATGTGGATCAACCATGCATTTTTGTCTCCCCCAACCTTAAGTCTAAACAAAGCGTAAATTGTTCCAGAAGTCAGGACATATATGGACAGTCTTATTAATGTAGCATGGGAACATGGCAAAATTGTCATGGATAGCAGCCACGGTGGTTCAATTGTCTCCTTATGTATGGTTTATCCTTTCTAAAAGCACTCTAATACTCATAAGGGTTTGATGGGTAAGTGATGGCACCTCATCCTTTACCATGATCAAAAACAAAAATATTGAATTTTGGGGACTTTTCTGGTGCCAAAAACAGCCATCGGTGGCTTCCATTATATGCTTATGCTATTCCTTTTTTGGATGATCTAACTATACTGGTATACATTATTTTGTTGAAAAACGTTTAAATATTTTTAATAAATATATATTTTGGTAAATGTTTAGTGTTGCTTTTTTTGGGATGGCATCAAAACGTTCCATACATTTTATATTTTTGTGTTTTATCCTTTCTAAAAAAAAAAAAAAGTGCAGACAAATTTTTGTAATAATCCTTGATATGGACTAAGAAAACCAAGTAAACAGCTGTACAGTAGATTTTATATATAGGATCATGAACATAGAGAGACGCTGCCTTACTCTCAGTATCCCTTTGCTTCTTCCACTTGCCAATCAACCCTTCTACTCCCCCCACCATCCCAAACATGCAATTTAATCAAATTATAACAAGAACATTTTAAGCCATATTGTAAAGGGAAATGTATAATTAATAAGTGAGTGGCCACTGGGGCCTTGGCTTGCCACTGCCTAAGGGGTTTCCGTATATAAAGTCTCATAACTTGCAAATGCATTACAGCCTAAACTAAAAACCACAAGGCAAATATGTAAATCAAAAAGTAATATTTGTCATGACATGAAAGAGTCTTTGACAGAAAGTGTAATATAATGACAATACAAGTAATAATCTGTTAATGTTGCCATAAATTTAATGACATCATGATAATAATCAATTTTTTTTATTAAGGAGAGTAAATTAAAAAAGCATTCATTAAAATGTTACTCCACAGGCAATGAAGCAGACCGCCTTTTATTAAACTAAAAGTCGTAAAATTAATTTTCCTCCTAGAATGACAACTGAAACATGTGTGGAGATTTATATCTGAAATTCATAAATGTTAATGTCCCATTGGAAAACAGAGCAAGTGCAAAAAACATATTAAAGTGAGCTGCGTTCACATAAAAAGATTACAAATGAAGATTATGAAATGGTGGCCAGATGCTTATTTTCTGGGATTGTCCCATGTCATGAAGATTTATTTCTGAAATGTCTTACCTGTAGCAATGCCCCAGTTTAAATGACTGCACAGTCATATATCTTATAATTTGTAATCTAGCTCACTGCTAGGAGGGGTATTTTTATTCTGTATTCTAAAGATTCATTCAAATGATCTCCTCCAAGCCAGGAATTTAGGAAATTTCAACTAGAATTTTACACTTCATGGATTTTTCCCAGGGATAGGGTTTTGCTTTTGTTTCTCTAGACCAAGTTTTCTTGCTAACAAGAGTAAACTGCAAAAAAAAATACCAGGGATGGTTGGGAGAGGGGCCTGATTAAGATACCTGGCCAACACAGTATACATAAGGCCTATTCACACCTATGAGGTTTCTTTCCTGGTTCATTTTCCATCAGAACCAATGGAAATGCATTAAAATGCTTGTCAACACATGGGTATTGTTATAGGTTTTTAATGTGCATTGCAATGAACCTTCTACAGAATATCAAGCTGGTGCATGTTGACATGTGTCCTGAGGTTTTGATATGCACCTTCACAAATGCTTTGAAGTATGTTTTGATGCATTTTCATTGACTCCAATGCAAAAGGCTTCAAATAAAATAAATAGGTTTGGATAGGTCCTTAGAAGCAATTTAAGGCCACGTGACATTTTTAAGTTATGGTGCATTGTGTGTATTGCATCCAAGTTGAAAGAATGCTGAAATAAAATGACTGGTATCAACCAGAGAATTCATAGAGAAAAATGTTTAAACATCTCTAAACCCAATCATTTACATTTTATAAACAGTAAGCAATAACATTTTAATGAAATTTCAAAAGCTGTGGTGAACCTTTTTTTTTTTTTGTTTTAATATTTTTATTAAGTTTTTCAGAGATAAACAGGGAAAAACAGGGACAAGAGATATGGTTCATTCATACATACAGTATTGCACTAGATAAAATATGGTTGATCATTTTTTGTTGTAGTTCCACCCATTGAATGGATGAGGTGTTGGTCTTGTTTAGCAATATCATCAGAGGTATTCGTGTGTAATTGATGAACCTTGGTGCTGAGTTTCGGTTGGGGTGTTAAGGGGGTTTTGGTGGAGAGGTGGGGGGTGATAGGATTGGGGGGAGGAGGGATATAACTGGGTATTTGAGGAGATACCAGTCTTGGTATGGGGTGTGATTTCAACTCATGAAATGTCATCAGGGTTGTACAGAGCATTTTGGGTGCTTTAGCCATCGGGTCTATTGGATATTGAATTTGTGATAAGAAGAAGTGTTAATTGCGGATAATTTTTGACATTGAATGTTTAGGTCTGTAAGTAATGAATTGATTGAGGGGGTATTGTTTGTGTTCCATAATCTAGTAATATTAATTTTGGTGGCAAAGAGTATGTGGGTAATAATTGTTTGGAAGTGGGGAGTTTCTCCATTCCGATGTGTAGGAGTGCTAATGAGGGGTTCGGGACTATCGAAATTGTGTTTATTTCGGAGAATAATTGAAAAGTAGTATTCCAAAAGAATCAAAGTGACTTGCATGACCACAGAATATGTAGTGTTGAGCCTGGCTCACCACATTGTCTCCAACATGTAGGAGATAATTTTGGATAGTAGATGGAGAGTTTGACTGGGGTCAGGTACCATTAGTGGAGTATTTTTAGATATGCTTCCCAGTGGGAGCTGTATCGGGTAGCTTTATAGGTGATGGTGTAGGTATTTTCAAAGCATTTTAAAGTTATTTGGTCTGATAGGATTTTTTCCCAATTGGTTAGGGAAGTTGTTTGCAGAGTGAATTGTAAGTTGATGAGGTATGTATCGAAGGTGGATATACCTTTACCTGGATATTGAGGTTTGGTGAAGAAGAAGTAGGCTGTAATTTGGTTTCATAGTGTTGTGGGGAAGGCTAGTTGTTTGTAGACAATGAGCGATTCTTAGGTATGTAAAATTTTCAGTAGTAGGGATATTATATTTGGATTGGAGAGTTTGGAAGGGGCATAAAGATTGATTGGTATAGAAGTCAGTTAAGTTGGTTATTCCTTGTTTAGTCCATTGGGATAGGTCTAATGAGGGAACTAGAAGGTGTAGTATATTGGTTGGAGTAGGTATATGTTTAACATCTTTGAATTTAGTGGATAGAAGGTCTCATCAAGCTTGTAGGGAGGCTAGAATGCAGGGATGTTTTCGTTGGGGTTCTGTTCGTTTGGATGGTGGGGTCAAGAGGATATTTTGGGGTTTAATTGGTTGAAAAGGGAGGGTTTCCATTATGGGCCAAATTTTTTCCTTCGATGGGTTCCACCAGAAATATAGTTGGTCTAAAAGAGTAGCTGTGTAGTAAGACTTGAGGTGTGGGAGTCCTGCTCCTCCTCAAGTTGTAGGTCGTATTAGAAGATTGGTGGTACATCTCGGTTGTTTTGAGTTCCATAGGAACTTTGTGAGGGTTGTTTGTAGGTTAGAGAAGAATGAATTAGGGATTGGTATAGGTAGTGTGTGGAATATGTACAAGATTTTGGGTAAAACATACATTTTTAGAATCGCCACTCGGCCTAGTTTGGAGAGTTCTGAGGTGCGTAAAGTGTTTAGTTCTCGGGGGATAGTTTCAAGCAACATTTTGTGGTTTGCTGTGTATAGATGGTCTGTCGCTGGTGTGAGTCTGATTCCTAAGTAAGGGATGCTGTTTGTTTCCCATAAAAATGGGAATTGTTTGGTTAGTTGGGTTTGGAGTTGGGTAGAGATGTGAAGGTTAAGTATGGAAGATTTGGGTTCATTATGTTTGTGGTATGAAACTGTCGAATAGGTATGTAGATGTGAGCGAATCGTTTAGAGTGGTCAACTTTTTTAATTAGCAAAATTCCCTGGTGATCCTACAATAAAGGTCCTTGTTCAGGCACTTCCCATTATGGGTAGCCAACATACAATGCGTTGATACGGTGTAAGGTGGTCACCATCAGGATGCCGGTCCAGAGTGATGATGTTCAACTGATGCTAGAGTGAATGCATATGAACTGGAGGTGGATAAAGGGGGCTGGTTGAGAGATCAGCAACAAGGGATGAAAAAATGGTGAAAACAGTATTTTAAGGGGGAAGTTGGACTATGTTTTGATGCACAAGACTTTAGCAAACTTAAAGCCATCCAGTTAGAGTTTAGCAAATGAAAAGAAAAAGCTTGTGAGGTGAAAAGTAATTAATACTAAGTTCTAATTGTGAATCGCTTGACCCTAACACATACTCATACTAGTGTGCCAACCAATACTATTTAACAAAAATGTGCTGCACTTCACTAAGAATGCTCAAAATAAATAATATATAATGGGTGCAACCAGGCGCTGATATAAATATCGGGTGACAAAAAAATAAAAATATATGTGTAAACCATATCATTTTTAAAAACAAATATGCATATATAAGTTATGAATAAAAGACGAAATACCAAAAATAATGTCCATATCCATATCAAAAGATGCAATAAATGAAAATTTTATAAAAAAAGTCCATAAATTTGTGCTTCATTTTTGTTAAACAGTTAGAGTTTAGGTTTACTTTAAGGGATTGTTAAAATAGAGTAATAGGCAAAACTTTTTTTTTTCCATTTTGGATAGGGTAAGGGAGGTTTTTAACCCCTGTAAGGTTTACCTGTGTCCCATTTGGAGATTTGCCTTCACTTCTTGTCCTATAGCCAAACAGGAAATGAGAGGAAGTCCCCGCAAATAAGGTCATCTCTTGGGGACCTCCAGGCTACCAGAATTAGTGGCCCCATTGAAACATTTTTTCTCTCTATTACTTTCCTGGAGACAACCCAAAATTTGTGATTTTCTTTTACTATCAATTTCTGTTAATGGTAAACAGGAGAAAAACAGGGTGAATCTCCATAATAGGGGGACAGATAGCAAAAAAAAAACTGAGAGATGTTCAAATCTCTCTCCACTCAAAAACAAAAAAAAATGTTTTGCTTTATACTTTAAGGCCATGTGAAGTAAACTGATAGCATTAGCATACTTATGTTCACTTGGGTCAGATATGAAATTAACAATTTGAAATGTATACAGCCTACCTACTTTAGGGCTTCAGCTTCTTTTTTTTTTTTTTTAATCCAAACATTGCTAGCCATGGGCAAGGTGGATTTCAATACAAGTAGAGCATGTACACAGAAGGTACAGAAAGATTTAATTCATTCAAGAACATTGGCAAAGGAAGAGATGTTTGAAAAGAGAGCCAATTATATCCGAGAGAAGAACCATGTTATACAGGAAAAATAAAAAAATAAACTCTTGTGCATGAGGTTTGTTACCCCCTTAATGTTACCCACAATAGTAACAGGATCTCCTGTAATTTCTTTACAGTAAATGGCACCATGCACCATACATCGGTAATAAAATGTGCCCAAGTCGTATAGGACTTACTCCTTTAAATTTCAAACAATCCAGTAAAAATACCAGCAGTATGAACGGTTAAAATCTAATGTAAACCTGGCAATACATTAGTAGATTTTCAAATGAATGTTCATATGAGCATTCTTATGAAAATTTGTATAACAATTCTCAGTGGTTTGGCAAAAGTAATTCGAAAGTATTCTGAACTTTTGATTACTTTTAACATTCCATTTTAGAATGAACGGATGCAAACAACGCACACAAAAAATGCTCGGCATCGGAAGCAACCGTATCGTGTCTCAGGCAATCTCAACATAATTACTAAAACATCTCACCCATCTTCTCATGAAGCCTCATCATTAAGGTATTAAGTTCTCATTCACCATTTGATAAATTCTCCTCAAAGTTATGATGAAACCTCAGTTTTCTTCTGATAAATTCTCATCCTTTTTTGGATACATTTTCATCTAACCTCTTATGAAACATCACCCAACATCTGATAAATTCTTATCAAACCTCATATGAAACTTCACTCATCATCTGATACATTCTTATCAAACCTCATATGAAACATCACCCATCATCTGATACATTCTTATCAAACCTCATATGAAACATCACCCATCATCTGATACATTCTTATCAAACCTCATATGAAACTTCACCCATCATCTGATAAATTCTTATCAAACCTCATATGAAACATCACCCATCATCTGATACATTCTTATCAAACCTCATATGAAACATCACCCATGATGTGATAAATTCGTATCAAACCTCATATGAAACATCACCCATCATCTGGTAAATTCTCATCAAACCTTATATGAAACATCACCCATCATCTGGTAAATTCTCATCAAACCTTATATGAACCCTCATCCTTTATCTGATAAATTCATATCCATGCTCTAATGGAACCTCAACATCTCTCTGATATTCTCATCCATTCTCATCCATGCTCTGATGAAACCCCATCCATCACCGGATGGATTCTCATCCATCACCGCTCAAAATATAACTTGCACATGCACCAAAGGAGCACAGTTATGGTCATACTGGTGCTCTACACTTGATGCTCCAACCTCACCGGTTTTAATTATAATTATTTTTTTTTCCCACAAGAGGCATTGGTGTTATACATAACACCGAAGTACCAAAGCTAATGTATTTCTGTTGATAGGTTTCATAGTAATATTTCATTTCTACAAAAGTGCAATTTTATTATTTGATTCTTTTTTCTGTGAGAAGCTGTATCTGCTTTCTCCAGCCATCTAAAAATAGTCAATTTGCTCTCCATCAAATGAACATGAAAGAACTGTCTTTTTTTTCAGCTCTGCAT